GCAATGGAATCGCGCGACGAATGCGAGTGGGTGGATTCAGGGGGTTGAACGATTCCGAAATCAGGAGCGGAGGAGAGTTTATATAGAAGAATGGGGTGAATTCTTATTGGACGAATGGACTTTCACGCGGATCGCCGACGTGGCATCCATACTGCCGTTGGATTTTATTAGTAGTGGTTTGCGGTTGAGATTGTCTACTGAGTTTTCGACTCGGTCGGACGGACGGACTCGTCGTCAGGTTATCTTTGCCCACGGAAATAGTTCCATTTCATTTATACAATATATAACTATAATATATTCAATTTTTAATATTATTTTGTAAATTAAAAAAAAACACTCAATTTTGTCAAAGTTATATAAATGAGAACAAATCATTTTTTACATTTCTTTTTATATATAGTTCAACAAAAAATGGGGAGATATCAAATAAGATAAATAATATTTTAAGTCCAAGTCTAACGTGTACTCCTAAAGTAGGTGGTTATCCTGAGTTTGATTCATGTCGATTACATTTTTAATTAATTACATCCACTTTAGGCCACTCAAAATGGCAGCGCCAACAAAACCGATTAAAAAATGTTTCATATCTGTAAAAGAACAACAGTAATTTTGATTTTCAGAACGTGTACCCATTCAGAATTGTCAGATTAAGAAAAAAAAATGTAATCTTGACATAAACTATTAGAGCATATGACAATGCAGGTTGTCGAATTAAATCTCACACATAAAAAAAGATGATTACGAAAAAATACAGAGATAAAAATACTCAAAACAGTTTCAATCGTTCAAGGATGCATTTGATATAGAACTATTATAGTGTGATTATAAATTGATAGCTAAAGTTATAAGAACACTTTTTCACCGAATAATACGAAAATCCAATATGATTATGGATCTACCCCGAGTCCAAATGGTCAAACATTAATATCGTCTAATAAGTCGCAGGTTCGAACTTTCTCCGGTTTATAACGTATATAAAACCAGGGTCCAAAAAACACCCATTCTGGGCAAATACAGAATCAAGGAGCCATTTATGTGAGCCTCTGTTAAACAAAAATGGAAGAAACTGCATAATCATTGATCTTCTAAGAAATCTGTAAAACACAAAAAATAAGAAACAGGCACATAAACCTGCAAGCATGACTAAGAACCACTACACAGGAGTTAACTGGAAAGAGCAATGAGCATTATTATTCAAAGTAATGGAGAAAAAAACTGATCAAACAGAGAATATCACTGAACTGTGTATCCATCTCCTTTCCTTTACTGTCCAACATACACAAGAAGTTCAGTATCCAAACTACAGGAACACCCAGGTGCAATCTGTAAAATGACAATCCGTAGCAGCCTCCTTTGGAATCTGAACTTCTTATACTGATTGAAAGACCAGGACTCGGCTCGGCTGACTAAAACCTGTTGTTGGCAAAATAGATAACGAAATATAATAAGTGTACGAGCACTGAGTTAGAGCAACAAACTAATCATGATCACTTTTTGCAGATAGGCAATTGACTCGATTGTCAATCTCTGTATAGTCTGAGATATTCAAATTTTACACGAATGAAGTCAATAATGAGAGTGATCTATCTAGCAACAACTGTACAGCATGAGTTGAAACACAACATTATTTGAGTAATCCTTCAAATCCAAGCGAAATGAAGGAGAAAACCCGAAAAAGCAGCTAACGACTGGCATGTAAAACAATCAGACAACAGTACACCTAGCACACATGGACTCTCAGAATACAAATCACATTACAAACAATTATGAGCAAGCGCACCAAAGAAGCTTCTTTGGCTTTACAATCATGGTTGCTGTAAATTTCCTAAAAATTAAAGCATGCTCCAAACTCTTGCTAGTAGGAACGTATACCTCATTAGCCATGTCCTGCTATAAGATTCTGAGAAAAAAAAAGAAAAGTATGGAAAGCTTCCTTAGCATCCTTGCAATAGTTGTTCTGTCTAAAACACCTTGCAGTTTGGAAGTAAATATATGGTTCTTTCAATGAAATCAATTCACCTGTGGTGGATAGTCCTAAAGGGGTCGAAAGAGAATCGCAAATAGAGGCTTATGCCATGGGAATTTCTACTACATTAGCAACGGCACCTCCTCTGTCAAACTCTCGCTTTAGGCATTAGCTAAAATCCTTTGACTAACAAATGTTTCAATATTACTGGTCAAAATGTTCACTTACAAAGTCCCAACTTCGATCTCCAGATCTACCACCACATACGAATGATAATGAGACCGTACATTTCATTTGCAAATAACATACATCCGATCTGCCTAGACCTCTCTATCCATAATCTAATCAATGAAGGAGTCTTCCCTAATGATAGACAAGTGAACCCATGTCGTATACATATAACAACTACGAGACTTTTGAGATAAATGGTTTACTCATCACTCGATGAACTTAGCAAACTGCAGATAATTATATTACATATACAAGTTAAAATGCACACCAACATATCAGGCAAAAGCATATGACAATGGCAAGTGATAATAAATTTACTATATGGCTAATTCGAAACTCTGTCGAATAATATGAAATCCAGTCTGGGTATCACTTGTTTTTCCCTTGTTTTACTTCTCATTTTGTGTTTGTTACATCTGAACGGTGGAAAAGAAAGAGCTGTTTGGAAACTTTCCACAAAACCACTTTCTGACTTTGTTTTGTAAACTGATTTTAAGAACATCCTGTGGCTACCTATCACCTAATGTTCACTTATAATTCACAAGAACATGATTCTGTAAGGAATGACAGCAAAATTGAAAGTAGAAAAATTGTTTGAAACCTTTGCGAACTGGCATTGACATTGCGATGAAGAATCCGACCGCCACTCGAATCACCACCGTCAATCAACTCCCGAAGACCTAATTTGCCCACCTTCTCGTCTTTTTCATCATCTTCTTCCTCCCCCTCCTCTTCCTCTTCCTGCTCCTGTTCCTCCTTCCGTTTATTTAGTTCACGGTTGACCTTTCCCTGAAGCCTCTCAAAGTAATTCCCATATATATACTCCGGCGAGTATCCATTTTCTTCGTCAAACAACATAATATGGCCGTGCCATTCCCAAACTCGATAATCCGAGTCCTTCTCCTCGTGAAACCCGACGCATATGTGGTGCTCGCCGATGGTGACGGCCTGGCCGGAATTGGGCTTGAGGGAATCGGTGTTTCCGGTGAGAATAACGCGGATAATCTCCTTCTCGAGCTTGGATTCCTCTTTAGCGAGCTGCGTTTTGTTGTCGTCGTTGTCGTCGTCGGACAGATTGGCGGCATCGAAGAGAAGGTCTTCGAGGGATTGGGAGAGAAGGGGATTGTTGTTGTTTGGGGGCCGGATTTGGAGTCTGCCCATGAGAGTTTGGAGGAGAAGATTATCGAAATTCGCGGTGTTGCTGAAGGAGCTCATGGTGATCGGTTCGAATTGTGAATCGGAGACTGGGTTTCTGGTTTTCTGCGGATGGAATTTTGGAGGGTTTTAGGTATTGGAGGAGACGACGTTTGCTTTCTTTGTTATTAATTGTTTTATTTGTTTTTTAAAATACTATTTTGTTGCTACTACTTATTTGGTTGATTTTGATCTTTTAATTTCAAAAATATCTATTTTGTATTTTTTCTATATTTTAAACTTTTATTTATTTTAGTTTTTCAGTAATTTTAAAAAGAGACTATAACAAAATTTATACACCATTATAACTTTAGGGTTACATTTCAATAAATTTTGTGAGTAAAATGTCGTGCTGAAATTTTTATTGAAATAGATAATATCAAAATGAAATGAAATTACTAAAATATGATCTTTGCCTAAACTACAATTAACAATAATTTAAAGTATATAGACTAATATAGATATTTTGAAAACACGTTACTAATATGTAAAAGTCAATAACAAATTATACCATAACAATATTTATTTCCTTCTTCCTCTTTATTAATTTTGTTAATATTATCTCAAAATAAATAATCTTGTTAATGCTAAATTATAAATTTGGTTATTAATCTCCCATGAGCTAAACTTTCAATAATGTTTACTGGATTCTCAAATCAAGTTAAAAGTGCGTTGAATCGTTCAATTTCGTAAGTATATTGTTAATGGTTAGTTTTAATATCATAAATTACTAATTTATTACTCAATTACTTTTAGATACAAACTTCAAAGTTTACAAAGTTGATACAATTAAAACGAAAGTTTAAAAGGTGGGCACAATTAAAAATCCATTCATATTTGTTGGTACCAAGAACAACGTAAAAGTTTTTACGAGGAGGTACTTTCATAGAGGGAGGATGCAAGTAGACCAAACACCATTTTGCTATATATACTTTGATCAAAATTCAGGGTACGTATTTCCATATATTTACATGGATTTGTCCCTGTATCATACGATAATCGAAATCGATTTTTGTGATGATGATAAGTATCTTATTCATTGAGCTATGTTGATATTTACCCTTCTATGTAATTTTTACTATTAGTTAATGATGAGGTGATTTGAGGGTAAATGTTAATAAATATTAATTTAATGACCATATAATAAAAAGTTATTTGATTATTTACCTCATTTCGTGCGAGTGTTCCCCTTGTAAAAGTTCACACAAATATATCACAAAAAAAAAAGTACACACAAATATCAAAATTAAAAATATAATCGTATTCGAAAATTAAGAACGTGGCACGTGTGGCACTGTGGGTCGGCATTAGCAATGTAATTTTTCTATTTCCAGCCAAAAGCAAACGACGCCGTATGGTCCCGAACTTCTGCACAGAAGAGTGCCCCTATCAAAATGAAGGCGCGGATTTATAGATTCGCTTTTGTCCGTCGGATCAACTCATATATGGAATCGATGAAAATCCACCGGTCACGGAGTTCTCTCCCCCCCACAGGCTTAAGAGACTGAAACCAGGAGTGATTAAAAAAAAAAAAAGGAAAAAGAAAAAGTAAAAGAAACCTCTTTCCGCTCCCGGCAAACGATTTCAACGGCCGTTCGGTACCGCCGTACCAGGCGACGCCACTCCTCTCTCCGTTTTCTCTCATTGCCATTTCTCCAGATCTCGTAGCTGCACTCGCTGTTCTTCTCAATGGCTGCTCCACCTGCACGAGCTCGAGCCGATTACGATTACCTCATAAAGCTTCTTCTGATCGGCGACAGCGGTGCGTTACTTTTGCTTTATTGCTTTGGTCGAGCTGCGATCTCGTGGTTCTGTTTGATTTATGATCAGAAGTTTATGAAACAACTGGATATTAATTGAATTTTTGTTTTTGTATACGAATCCTCAATGTTTCATTAATATAGATGATTAGATTCTGGAGTGTATATTAAGTTGTTGATGGATTGGCGGTGAAGTATCCGACGGGATTTGTTATAGTTTTTGTTGTGTGTGAGTTATGTTATGTCGATAGGATTTCGTTTTTCTACTTGGACGGACGGACTCCTAAATTTTAAGTTCACAAGCTATTTCTCGTGACATGACAAGGCAGGTGTGGGAAAGAGTTGCCTTCTTTTGCGGTTCTCCGACGGCTCCTTCACCACTAGTTTCATCACAACCATAGGGTACGTGCATTCGGCATTGTGATATCTGAATAAATTCTCTTTTTACTGAATGGTCTTTCTGATTTCATTACTTTGGTTGTACTCGAACAGCATTGATTTCAAGATTAGGACCATTGAGCTTGATGGAAAACGGATTAAATTGCAAATTTGGGATACTGCTGGTCAAGAACGGTTTAGAACAATTACAACTGGTGTGTAGCTTAATGTTTAGTGTTAGCATTATTGGATTTTGCAATTCTAAAGGTCATTTTATTTCATTTTAGTTTCCTCCAACCTAATATTTCATGCAATTATTAAGATTTCCTTAGGGTTGATCTCATGGAAATGTTTGTAATGCTTGATCTTCATCCATGCTAGTTTTCAGCACCTTACGAGTGGGGGACTTCTGCTTATTTCAAAATTACTCCGGATGAATTATAGACAATTCTTATGTATATTTGCGCGCTGACAAAGTTTTGGACACCATACATCTCACTTGTTTTAAGGATTTTATCTAATTTATTTAGTTTTCATTTGTAAATGTTTCCTGCTGTTTCTAGGAGGTTCACTAAATCAAAATTTTTATTTCTGCAGCTTACTATCGTGGTGCTATGGGTATTTTGCTAGTGTACGATGTCACGGATGAGTCATCATTTAACAGTAATTCTTCTCTACCTTAAACCAAAGGTTAAAAATCCGAAGATGCCGGTTGCTCTTCTAAGTTCATAGTAGGAAACCTACAATCGGTTCAGATATTTCTCCATTAAAGATAGTTGTAGACTTGTAGTAGAGTAGATTTTGTAATCCTCTATTGCGGTTACGGCACGTCCTTCTTTTCTTCACGGCGTTGTCTACTTTCTTATTAAGATCTTTGTTGCTTTTCAAGATAATATTTTCTTTTCCCTTTATCTTTCCCTATTTATTTGTTTCTGTTTATTCAGACATTAGGAATTGGATTCGTAACATCGAACAGCATGCTTCTGACAATGTCAACAAGATACTGGTGGGTAACAAGGCTGATATGGACGAGAGCAAAAGGGTATGCATTTTATCTACGTTTTTGTCACTTCAATTTCTGTGCTTGCATATCCACTTCCTCCAGAAATATATAATTGTGAAAGTCTCAGTGATTTAGTAACTGAAAATGGAACTTTCATTTAGGCTGTTCCTACATCAAAAGGTCAAGCTCTCGCAGATGAGTATGGCATCAAGTTTTTTGAGACTGTGAGTAAAATAATTAGCTGGTCTCGAAATTATTTACCGGCTATTTAGTTTAGATCATAAATCTTGAAGATGTTATGTATTTCAGAGTGCAAAGACAAATTTGAATGTGGAAGAAGTTTTCTTCTCCATAGCCAAGGACATCAAGCAAAGGCTTGCTGATAGCGACTCGAAGGCTGAGGTATGAACTTTTTAGCCGAATCTGAATTTCTACTTGAAATAAGAACAATTCATAACTTGTAAGCCCCCCAACCCCAGATTATATTTCTTTAATTGAGTTATTGCGTCGTGGTTTTTTCATGAATACGTTTTGGTTGTCCATGTACTGAGCCTCTCTATCTCCATTGGTTGGATGTTGCAGCCTCAAACAATCAAGATAAACCAAGCAGATAACGGAGCAGGGGCTTCCCAAGCTGCTCAGAAGTCGGCTTGTTGTGGATCTTAAGACGGCTACATCAAGGTGGTTTACTTGCAAGGCAATACAATTAGGTCACTCGTGCTTCTTTTTCTGTCATTTTTTTTTCACCAGTAGTAGAACTCAATTTGGGAGTTCATAGTAAATCCTTATCTGGAAATTAATTATATGGTTCATCTACCCCATATTTCATTTCAAACTGAAAAAGAAGTTTCATATTTCAGCATAAGTGCTTCCCGTAGTTAATTTTAAAAGTGTTTCCATAACTGATCTTTAATTAATTCTGAAAGCTTGCCAGCTGAGTATAATCGGTCTCTATATCCATTTTCCAGAATCAATTCTTGTTCTATGGTAGGAAATTACTCTTTTATGGACAATGAACTGAACTTTCAGTTAGTCAGAAACTGAATACACTTTTATGAAGAATGTTACAAAATATGAACATGTAAGAATTAGATTGATCCATCCATAATATCTTTCTCATTTCCCAAATTTTCTTGCTTTCTTATATACTCCTGCCGTCCACCTTCTTCAACCCATCTTATCATCAAGTTTCCACAGTCCTATATTAGCTATATCTACAAATTTCTCAAAAAATCATACCAAAATTTTGAGCCTGACGCCCACTTCTTGCTTGATCTATCTGATTCTTCTTCCTCCACAAAATAAAAAAAAAATCACCAGACTGAAACGTATGGTTGACCCACAAGCGCCATTTATGCACTTCATGGCTCAAGCAGTCGAGATAGATCAGTCATCACCTACTGACTGTTGCTTCACTGATGGGGAGCCAGGCAGCCAGTTTTGAGCTTGCAGCTCTCAATTTTCAGCTGTTGGAAATCAAGTATCGATTGGTTACTTTACAAAAGTGGGTCAGTGGTAGTACTAGTTACTGAAGAGATGTGTCAATGCCGGTCTCTGCCCCGAGCAAGAGCTCTTCAGCTTGAATCTTTGCCGCACATGAAGATGACAAAGTGGCATCAACTGACGGTTTTGTTGCGGTGGTGATGGTAGCGTTGGTAGCTGCTAGATTCTTCTTTGCTAAGTCAACTTGAACTGAAAACAGTGAGTAAACAGGTCTGTGATCTGAGAATCTGCACTCCCCTCTTACATACCACATCTGTTTCATTCCTTCCCCTCTCCACAAGATCCGATCGCACCTACCAAGTGTTCGATAAAAGAAACCGATCATAAACATTTCCCCTTCTATGCAGGCGAAAAGTTTGTGTTTTTTGCAGGTGTGGTTTTTCCAGAAGTAGCAGAGTTGGCAACTTACCAAGCAGGAGCGCGGCGTTTTTCTCTGGATGGCTTGGAGTTGGAAGTCAGTGCAACATAATGGTCAGAGTTGGTTATGTATTTGTAAGTTGGAGCAAACTGTATTCTTCCTTCTTCCCACCCTTTAAACACTCGACCAGCTCTTTGCTCTAACTTTAGCTGCCAAAACATCAAAGAAAAATTTCCATATCTTCTGTCAAATCTCCGACTTAGGGCATGTTTCGAAGTGATTTTAGGCCTAAATCACTTCCATTTAAAATAGTGATGCTTGACAATGGTACAAAAGTGATTGACGGTCAATCACTTAGGATGAAGTGATTCCCAAGGAATCTATTATGAAATGAGTGATAGAATTACTGTTCAGGAGTTGAACTCACTTGATCTTTTTCTAGAAGTGCCTGCCAATCGTTCTTCCTAAGAAGCTCGTACATCTCTGCACAGCCATTTGAGAGCCGATAGTTCAGATCCCCGAGCCAGATGACCTTGCTGCATAGAATTATTAGTTGTAAATCACAGAACGATTCGATTTGATCGAGCAATTAGTAAGAGAAGAAAGGGAAATTACTCACTCATGGTCCAATATGGTCTCAGGAGGAGGTGGCTGAACTCCAGTGGTAGTAGCTCTAAAAGAATGTGAAAACCTTGTTCTCTTCAAAATTTCACTCACATCTGAATTTCTCTTCACTTCATCACCTTCCTTCTCCCCAGAGGTCAAATGGGTGCAGACGAAGCAGAAGGTTGTTTGGTGCAGTGTCATACTGATGGATACCGATCCCTGTTAACGCACCACAAAAACATTATTTGGGTTCAACTCGAATTCGACAATGGTACAATGCTAGTATTTTTAGTTCAGTTGTGCTGACCTTGTTGCCTAGGAACCCCATGACGCCTCTCCCGACACTGGAGACCTTCAGATTCGAGACGTGTTTGTAAAGATCTGCTCGAACCCACACACACAAGAAAATGCCCACCATCTGCTTGCTTGCAGCCAGGCAATACTGCCGCTGCATTGGACTACCTGGCCAGGATGGGGCGCTTTCGACAACATTGTTGTCGTCGTCTAAAGCGAGCAAGTCCGAGAAGCTCTGTCTTGGTTTCTGGCTGGCTTCGTGCTGGTCGTATAATGGCGAGGAATTACAGTCGTCGGAGTTGAGGGCCCCCTGAATGAGGTCGAGCCACTGGGCGGCTGGGCCACTGTCCTCCGCCCCAAGCACGTTGCCTGCATTTAGAGGGACGATTTCTTGGAACCTATTGAGAAATAGTACCAAAAGTTAATTATTAGGAAAATCATTTTTCTTATTATAACATTAAAAAAAGTAACTGAGAAACAGAGTTGAATTTCAATCGTGAAGACGAATGAAATAAGCTTTAACAACTTCAATTTGACATAATACAATTAACGCAAAAAAATAGAAATTAATTTACATTCTACCAATCCTATGCCAACAAGTCTCATCCTCCATCTTCTTATTTACATTATTGTATGCCAAACGCCCCCATAAGACATGAATTCCCAACCTAACAATATTTTCAAAAGATAGAATTGTAATAATAAAACCGTCACCAATAAGTTTTTAACTCTTCAAACAAAAACTGGTATCTAATTACCAATAAAAAAAAATCGACAGCTTTTTAGTTTTAGAAAAATATAAAAAAAAAATATATTTTTCTGCAATGCAATTCTCTCTTAACTAAAGAGGAGTAGTGACCAATAAACACTTAAATATTTCTCTTATTTCACGCGGGTCGTTTAACCAAAATTAAGGATGAGAGAGACAAAAAGAGAATAATATGAATGGTTAGAGAGGGAAAAAGAAAAGGAGGGGGTTGGTGGTTGGTAAGTTAGGTATGGGCACTATTCAAGTACACAATTCTAGGGCCCACGAATCACTTCAACTAATGCATTTTTCTTACATTTAACCCCTTTTTTTTCAAACTACAACATTTGAACATACCGTTCAAAGAGTCACAATATCTTAACTATTAAGAGTGTTGTTCTTGTTGACGCTAACTTTTTTACTGTAAAATTAGAGCGAGAAAGAGAGAGAGCATACCCGAGAACATAAATGTCAGCTACGATTGGAGATTTAAGCCAATCCCTCAAGTTCAAGCCTTCCTTTGGTGGCTTTCCTCCCACATTCCACGTCCCCACAACCATCCTGATTTCCCCATCAAATCCAATGCTTATTAGAGCGCGTCGAGAAAAATTCTAGTACTATAATCATACCAAGTGCTTTTTCGTACCATTTTTATTTATATTGAACATTATATATTATTCTATAATTTTAAATAGACTACAATTTAATATGATTTCTTTCAAACATTTTTTGGGGAAAAAAATATTAAGATCATCCCATCTAAATCAATTGATAGAAGTGTCGTGTTTGAATTGACGTATTTGTTTGATTCTTATAATCCAAATAACAAGTTCGATTTGATATATAAATAAAAATAATAATATCAGATCACTTTTTTACTACCATCAAAATAGAAATCTATATCATGGAAGCAAACTGAAAAGTCTAATGTAATTTAAAAAAAAAAAAAACAGAACAACCATAAAATTTAGACAAGAAAGTAGAAAATTATAGATTTTTAACATGAAAATAATTACCTCAAGTTGAGAGATTCACTGTGGGGCATAACTCTGAGTCCACGTGTCTTCTCCGTCGTCCACGCTTCAACTACAAATTCAGATATCCAATCAGAAACAGACACGTGGAAAATTAAAGGAAAATTACCCTAGAGCCTATACTCTGCAAAAGTCAAAACTAGACTAAATCTTGCACCCACATCCTCCGCCGTCCACGTGGCACGGATCCCGAAGATGCCAGAGTTTACCATCCTTTTCCATGATGGGTTATTAATTAGAAGTCTTTTCCCTTATTGTCTACTGATCAAATCAGGTAAATTGATCTGACGGCTCAGAAACGCCACGAAAGCTGTTGGAAATTATTACCGCGTCGCGGTACAAAATATTTACCTCCGATATCTTCTGGCGCCACGGCGCTGCTGTCTTGCTCGGAGCAGCTCTTTCTCCTCTCTGCCAAACGAAACATCATGTGTTTTTTAAATATCTATTTTAATCATTTTGATGCACGAACTTTTATAATAAAATATCTATTTTAGTCTCTTTAATCATTCTAAATTTTGCCCCCAAAAAAAAATCATTCTAAACTTTTTATATTATCTAATATTTTACTCCCTCAATACAACTTCAACCAAGCAAGGGAAAAAAAAACCTTGCCTGTAGTATACAGACAGTAATACATATATAAGTTATTTTATTGACCTATTAAATATAAAATAAAGTCAATATTATTTTTCGTAGAACTAAAATAAATATTTTGAAAGCAATCGGACTAAAGTGAAATAAATTTAACATTAAATTACAAACTAGGTCCCTGCATTTACAACTTTACATGAGTGAAGTGTATTAAAACCTCTAGATTTCTAATTTTGTATATATATACAAAATTTGAAAGTTCGATCTTATATTAAACACAAAATTTAATATTGTATTTAATAAATCCATGAATATAGAAAAATCAATCAATAAAAACTTAAAAAATTTATTAAATACAAAATTAAAAATTTTCAGAGATCAATTACATACAAAAATTGAAAACTTTAGAAATTTAGATATTTTAAATTTCATAATATAACTCTAAAATTTAAACACTAAACTAATAATTTAACCTAAACAAACCGTCCATAAATGGTTGATTTACTTTAAAAATAAAATAAAATAATCCAGAAGGACAAAAGTGGAATTGAGATAATATTATTGTTTACCTTGAGTGGTGAAATCGGACGGAAAGCGTAGCTTATCGTCCGGAAAATTCAGCCACTTCCTGGCGACGGCCCTCGGCCACGACGACTACCGGCAGAAAAAACACATAGACGACATAAGCAAACACCAAACCGACATGTCGTAATTCGATCTGCATATCCTTTTAAAAAAATTTCTCTTACCTTGTTGAAGATCTTCCCTCGTTCCATTCCCATTGCTCCGCCGCGGACCTGCCGCCGGAGAAAAAGAATCAGCTTCTAATTTCTGTATTTTCCGACCGAGACGGCGGAGGAAACGATTGCCAAAATATCCAAATCCTAAATCTGAAATAACTCGTAAGTCGTAATATATATTTTTTAAATCTTAAACAAAGAAAGTTAAGAAAAAATGGAGTTATTAAGTGGACAAAAAGGAGTTTACAATTAATCAAATGGCAAGAGGGGGGTTGAAACAGACCTTAATAATTGATTTATATTTAATTAGCGTTTTCAACGCCAATAAAAAAGACCCAGTTGCAGGAAAATATGGAGACAGCCTCCGGCGAAGGACCAAAAACAGAGAAAACGAAATTTCAATTTAAAAGGAAAAAAAAAAGGTAGAGAGAAAAATGGGCAATTTCTTAATTTACAGAGGAGGAAAACAGAGCATGTCAATGAAAAAAGAACAAAAGGAAGAAACTTTGAGCAACCCTTTTTCAGATCTTTGGAAAAAAGTTATGGGGTCTCCTTGAAATTCGAGATTACATATATAAATATAAAATTAAAATGGAAAATAAGATCGAAAATGGAAGTAAATTAGGAGAATTTGGGAGTGGCAGAGCACTTACAGAGGGGGAGCCACCGCCGGCGAGTTTAGAGGGGATTATGCGGCGGCCGGAGGAGGAGCGGGCGGCGGCGGGTTTCTAGAGAGAGGGTGGAGTAGTAGTTGTAGTTGGTATTCCAAATAATTTGAAATGGGGACTGCCGTCTCTCCTTATGCTCTTCCTTTTTATGATTTTTCTGAAGTTTACTTTTAAAATTTTTATAATACATTATCGAATTTAGAGGTGTTGTTTTATTAATAAAAATTTATATCAGATTTATAAACCTTCAATTTTGTGTTTAATAGTCATTAATTATGTCACTATTATGTAGCAACTTTTATTTGAGTATTTAAGAATTATGTGCAACTTATTTTTTACAAAATTTGAAGTTTGAAGATGGATGGTAAACTTTTAAAAGTATAGGAATTGGTTGGAATCAATATTAGTAGTTTAGAGATTAATTCTTATTCTCTATAAAAGTTACCATATTTTTTGTTTTATTATCATTATTTTTTAGTATGATGAAGGAGTGCGAGGATTCGGTGACAGATACATATGTGAATTAGTACTATTAAATATTGTGAAAATTCGAAGGAGGGTACAGAGAAAAACTACAAAGTCTTAAATATTTTGATATAGTTTTTAAATTAGAAAAAAAAGAAAAAGAAAAAGAAGGCAATTGTTACAACCTCCTTTCTTCTGTTGTGTAATAAACTCAATCAAATAAAAGTATTGCAAACTAACTTAAACTAATATTAAAATATAATTCAATCATGAATTTTCTATGAAAAATAATATTATTTCAAACTTTATATTTCCTACTAAGAGCTACACAATATACAATATATAGTCCTTTTTTGGCTGAAATTTATTTATTGTAGATAAATCTACCCATATTTCAATCATAATCTATAACCACTTATAGGTATAATTGGCATGACACCAAGACAAGGCTATGTTGCATTATTTTGTTGAGTTTTAATAAAGTTTTTATTTACCAAACTAGACATAAAGTTTTCTTTTTTCTTTTTGAAGAATTATTTTGCATCACTCTATCATTGTCAACATTTCCCTTTATATTTATTAAAGAAAAATATTTCCCTTAACAATAAAATAGTTTTAAATAGGAAGAATTTAATTAATTTAAATCAAAACTAAGTACCATATGCTTTACAGTAATGACCCTAACACTCTTTAATCTTTATTATTACTCAAATGTACTTTAGACCCCATGCCTTTAGTTTCCAATACATTAATTATTGATATTAACTTTTGAATRTTATTTTAAAATTAAATTTATATCTCAATTCAATGTCTCGTGTCAACCTAACCATAACTTAACAGGTTTAGATACTTATTAGCAACTATAGGGTCGTGAATTTGAATCCTTACCTCCACATATCGTACCTAGGAAAACCTTATATTTAACAAAACTAAAAAAATCGAATTTTTTTCCAAAAATTTGAAATTATAATCCAATAAAAATGTGTGGTTTGAAAAGATATTTATAACTTTAGATTAAATGCAATTGTGTTTTTAAATAATTAGCCTTATCTTTAAAAGTACACACACATATATATATATATATATATAAGCTCCATAATAAATATGTAGGCTCCTTATGATGATGTGCTATAAAAAGATAGTATTTTCACTCCATTAATCTATACATATTTGTGTTTTTTTATGTGCCAATTTTAAAAAAAATATTTATTATTTTAATACGATAAAATAGAGGATCTATTAGACCGAGTAAATGATCCAATAATCACCCTTCATTTTTTTTTTGTAATTTTAAAATACTATGATGGTTCTGTTTATTTCGATTTTTCACCTTAAGAAAAAAAATATCAAACTTTCGTGGAATAATTTCCCTTTAAGAGTTGTACTTGAATTTTTTAGGATAATATTTAAGTTTCTATTGACACGGTAGACATTTCTATCAACTATTGACATGGTAGACATTTCTATCAACATTTGTACATGTCCATTGAAATCGACGTTGAAGTGAAGCGACATTTTTATAATATTACAAACCAAATAGCACTAATATTTGTTAATAGTACATAATATTAATATTAATAATATTTCACTTATTTTAAAATGGTGAAATGTTTTATTTTCTAATTTAAATATTTGTTATAAACGTTTTATTGTTAATAAATTTTCCATAAATAATATTCATCGATATTTTTATCGAGGTTGTCATAAAATTGAGACCCCAACATTTTCATCAACATCGACTGYCGTTTTATATAAGTTAACTGAAATCTTGAATGGGAAAACTAACCGGGTAACTGAGATTTATATTTGGTTATATATATAGTTTATGTTGAAGTTTCCTTCAAAATTGTATTAATTTTCTAGTAAAAACACAGTGAGAAAAAAAAAAGTCAACAAATAAGGCTGGCTTAATTTCTCTTTTCACCTTCGACTTTTCTATCACTAAATATAGCATGTGGTTCATAATCAAATAATGTTATTGCTAAGGTCAAGTTAGGGTATGTTTTGATATAAGTTTTCTTTAAAGAAAAAAATTAAATTCTAATATAAAGTCTATAAATAGTATAAAATGTATCAAAATATATYCCCAATCCATTTTTGGCTTTATTTCATATTCGAGCGTCTAAAATTTCTTACATATATATTTTTTGTTTTGATCTTATAAATTGAAATGCTTTATTCTTTTTTTTTGTATGAATGAATTTTATTGTCGATTAACCATTGTTGGAGGTAGATCTCAACGTACACGTGGCAAGTGACGAGTAGATGCAAAATGTGACACGTGGCTCATAGATACCACAGAAAAACCACCTAAGTATACACATCTCAGCTCATTCCTTTGGCTGAGCTGATTCGCTTACCACAGCTCGGTCGCACCTCCAACACACTCCACGACAACACGTCGCATTTCACGGTAACCATAAAGAGCGGTTGAGGCCTTGTCGGGAATACTGTCGAGGTCTTCGCCTATAAATAGACCTATTTCGTTCATTTAGAGGTACGCGAACATTTCGAATCTCTCGATGTAGTTCGGACTTTCATCGACTTTGACATCGAAGTGCTCGCTCTATTTTGCAGGTATGTTACTTGAAGTTTGGAACTTACTGTCCAACTCATCTAGTCCAAACCAACATTCGCAGAGTTATTCAATTTCTTGATTCAACAAACCACTATTTAGTCTCACGAGGAAACAAATAATTATTAAAGATTAGAAAATGAATAGASAATATTTCAATATATATTTGTGGTTAAATATCACTCAATGAGGAAGTTTCTRGGCAAAATTTTCCATCACAAGCTGTGATTTTCAATATTTAAGCCATTGGAAAAAAAGTTTGAGAATTGCTACAAATTAAAAGAGAGAGAGTCCCAAAACTTCCTAATAAACATCCAAAATAGCCCTTTGGATGTATTATTCAKTATATTGATATGATCAAAATTAGAGAAAAAGAGGGTTAATTAGTTTTTTTTTTTTTATAATTTGTGGGAAATTTTTGTGTGGACAATATAAAAGAAACTTATAACGTTTATCTCAAACAGTTATCTCTTAAGTAAGTAGATGTACAGTTCGTTGGATTTAGCTATGACCTTTTTTATGTTCCATCACTGTTGGATTTGAATTATTCATACCTTTTTTTGTTTTTGTACTCTTTAAAAATTGGATAAATGTAGATTTTTATCAATATTGATAATATTATGATGAGTTGCATTTGAGAAAAATAAAACCATGCTAGGAAGAAAATAAATTAAAATTTTATCTTTAATATATAATGTTCGTCATTATTAATATTGTAAAATTAATGTTTTTAAAAAAGGTCAACATTTCTGTTGTTGTTATTATTATTATTCAAAATATATAGGTTTAAAAACATTTACTTTCGTTGAAGTGACGAGATACACACATATATATATATATATATATGAGGAACCAAATGTGTTTATAAAATTGTTATATAATAAAAATCGACACTTAAATTTGATAATATATTTCATGATAGGGACTAAATTGTTATAAATTTTAAATTCTAAGGATTAAATTGTTACGAGTTTGGGAACTAAATTGTTACCCAATTAAAGATGTGGAAACTAAATCGCTATAGATTAAAATTCATGGTCTAAATCTTCAAAAGTAATGGACCGAAAATGTTTTTTAAACGTTAGAATACTCGTCGTGTTACAAATGTACTAAGAATTTAGACTTTTGTTTCGTTTTTCTTTTTGAAGAAATTCGGACCTTATTTTTATTTTTGTTARGTGAAGAAGAGTAATAATACTTTATCTAATTGAACCATACTAAAATTAGCACGTCATTATAACTAATGAACAAGTAGAGTCGTGTACTTGTTTAAATAATTCAAAAAAATTTAATGTTTAAATACTCGACCAAATAAATTATGATTATTATTTTTTTAGTACAACATATGAAAGTGAGAGTAAACAAACTAACGTTATTTTGATCAAGGATAAGTRTCTTTTAACTCACTAAACTATGTTTAGGTAGTAGAAATTATGGACTAAAAATATAACTTATCCTTTAAAATAATATTAGAGATGATAGTAAAATAATATGAAATCGATGGAATCAAACTCAAGAACGTTTGATGAAAAAATAAATTGAAATAAGATAACTTGATAGTCAATATATGGATCTAAACAAATTTTGTTTATATATTTTTTAGGACAGAAATTTATTTATTAGTAAAGAAGTTTTAGAATGAAGGAAATTAACTTATTTTTTGCTTAGTTCTGATTTCTGAACATAGAATATTCAAATTTGATGCCTTTATTATTTAAGAACGAAAATTTACAGATCTAAATAAAATAAAATAGATTGTAGCGATTATTAAAAATATAATATTTAATCCGGAATATTGGCACTTACACGTGGCCATTTGGCTAGCGTTAAGGTCAAGATTTGGAGGAGAAACACGCAAAGGCAATTATTAAAATTTAAAATATTTGTCCAGATTTGACCGTGTGAGTGCGCTACACCGGATCACGTACCCGGGAAATTAATAAAAAAAAWATATTTGTTTAAGGTTGTTTTTTGTTTGGGTTCGGCACTTTTTACGCGACAGACGAATAAGGGAGTGCCAAGTGTCCCATTAGTAGGGAAATTCCACGTGGACGGCTGTATTTAGTCTGGAGATTCTGAAGA